GCTCTTCCCTTTCACTCAAGACTCCTGCCCCCACCAAAGCCCCCACGCCATTTACCCCCACATCTCCCTGAGGGTAGGAGAGGTGATCAGATCATTCCCAAAGGTACTTCCATCCTTGTCACCTTACTTGTATTCCTGCTTAGCAACCGCAGGGTTTGTAAGTATCTGAATTTGAGAGACTGTTCTTTTCTTACTTTTTTTTTTTTTTGGAGAGGTTTTTGCTATAGGGAGTGTGTGCTCGCCAAAAGATAGAGACAGAGAGATAGAAAGTGAGAAATCATCCCCCAGAGGGGATGGCCATGCCGCAATCCATTCTCCTCTCAGGATCTTGGGCATGCACGCACACGCGCCCGTCGTGAGTTTAAGCCACCGGGTCTGGGATACAATCCGCAGTCGACTACATGGGAGTTCAGCGACATAGCCATTATGCTAGCTGCTGGTCCCAAGAGGTTGTTCTTTAGGGCACATATGCTCGCTGTGGAGACAGAGAGGGACAGAATGTGAGAAATTACCCCCCAGACAGATGGCCATGCTACAATCCCTTCCTCTCCATTCTTCTCTCAGGATTTTGGGCATGCACACACACGCGCCCTACCTGAATTTCAAGCTGCTGGGTCTGGGACTCAAACCACAGTCGACCATGTGGGAGTCCAGCGCCTCAACCACCACACCACCTGCTGGCCCCTGTAAACTCTTGACTTCTAAGCTAGCCCTTCTTCCTGTATTCCAAGCCCTGGGTCTTGGGAAACAGAGGAATATTATATTAAAGGCGAGTGAAGGGAGAATAGGGTTAGACCTAACTGCGGGACAAGATGCAGGGACAAGGGAACCAGCAGTTAGCGTGATGGCTATGTTGCTGGACTCCCATGTAGTCGACCGCGGTTCGCGTCCTGGACCCGGTGGCTTAAAACTCAAGCCGGGCGCGTGTGCGTGTGTGCCCAAGATTCCTAGAGGAGAATGGAGGAGAAGGGATTGCGGCGTGACCATCTCCTCTGGGGGGTGATTTCTCGCTTTCTGTCTCTATGTCTCTGTCTGGCGAGCGCATGCGCCCTATAGCGAAAAATCTTTCCAAAAAAAAAAAAAAAATGCAGGGACAAGATGACAGCCCAGCAGCCGCAGCTGAAATTGATGGAGTTCCCACGTGGCTGCACAGAGGGCTCCCCACATGTGATTCGGCTTCTCTGTGCCTGGGCCAGGTGCCCTGAAATTTGGGACTGACTCCATAAAGTCATTCACAGCTTCAGAAGAACCTGAGGCTCATCCTCCCTGTCCCTCTATTTTGCAAGTGAGAAAACCGAGCGGTGCAGAGAGTGGTCTATCAGAGGAGAAGCAAGCCGGCTTGAGCCCAGGCCTCCCAGGCCCACTCCTTTTCCCCCGCACACCCACGTTCGGACAAGCCAGAAGGGAGCCTACACACAGCTGTCCCTGCAGTGCCTCCTGAGCCCCCAGTTCTAGGAGCTAACTGGGACCTCGTGCTGGCCCGCAGTCCTGGTGTCCTCACCATCCCAGGAATAGGAGCCAGGCTCAGCCCTGTCCCCTCTGCCCACTGGAAACCTTCCCTGAGCCCATGTTTGGCTCTGGGTTCTTGGCCTCTCCCCCATCTGGGAGCTCCCTAAGGTCAAGGTCTCTGTTGCCTTAATCAGGACTGTGGAGGTGGGTGGGTGTGCAGACACTGGGTCTTTAACTGTTAGGTCTCTCCCCAGTGGCAGCACTTAGGTCAGTTCAGCAGAGAGGTCACAGTCAAACTAGTACTTACCAGGAAAGAAGAGTTTCCACACTTGAGACAAAATAGTAACCCTGCCCTAGGTTCATCCCCTGGAAAGGAAATGCTAGGAAATCTCTAATGCACAGATGTACAGAATCAGATCTTGGGGGGTTGTAGTTGCACAATTAATATTTATAAAGCATTTAGGATGCTGCTAGGAACATGGTATGTGCTAAATAAGTTATTTCTTATTTTTTAAGGGATTTTTTTTTTTTTTTAAAAAAAGAGGTTGCATGCATTCTCGAGAAAGAAAAAGAAAGTGAGAAATCATCCCCCAGAGGGATGGCCATGCCGCAATCCCTTCTCCTCCATTCTGCTCTTGGAGTTTTGGGCACGTGCACACACACGTGCCTGGCATGAGTTTAAAGCCGCCAGGTACAGGACTTGAACTGTGGTCAACTATGTCCAGTGATGTAACCATTATGCCATCTGCTAGTCCCCATGTAAATTATTCTTAAATAGCACATGTGCATGCACACAATCTCAAAAATATTGCTCCCATGGGCATGTACCCCTTTGTAGGTTTGCCAGGTCAGGACCCATGGCCTGCAACCTACTCACAGAGGGGAGGCAGCAGCCTGCCTTGCTGTGTACAACCTGCTCTTCCACCCCTCCACCATGGATCACCCCCAGCCCTGGTCAGAGCCTCTCCCCAACGGTACCTCCAGGGTCACAGTTACCCAGGGCTCTGCGTCAGTGCTGAGTGCCAGCTTCTCTCCACTGTCACCTGCTGCGGTGCACACAGACAACCCCATCAGGAGAAGCAGGGTGAGGCAGGGCCGCATCGTGAGCTGTGCTCTGTCCCTGGGCCCTCTGGGAGCCCCTCTGTCTGAAGACACCTGCCTCCAGCTGGCTCCTTGAGTAGGTGGGGGATGCTGGGCCTTTCAGCTGTCCTGCTTCCTTCCTTCGGCTTATCTGACCCCCTCCCCCGGCCAGTTCCTGTGACTCCCCGTCCTCCCTGGCTTGGAAAGCCAATGATATCTAGACCGCTCAGGAGGAGGGACCAGACCTCATCCACCCCTGCCCCCCAACATCTGATCCACGGCTTAACACTCTGATGCAACACCTGCCTCACCTTTGGCTGCCTTTGCTCTGGTGACAGGTGCACAATAGGGCAGTGTGTGCTTGAAGGTCTTGGGACTGGAACGAGGGGGGCTGCATGGCTCCTGCCTGATGCTGTGCTCCCCTGCTCAGAGAGGCCGCTCCCTGGAACTTAGCCATGTGCTACCATCTGTCTCCCCTTCCCGTCTCTGAGCCCCCTCTACTCATAGTCCCCGTGTTTGCATAGAACACATGTCTTGCTCTAAGAGAAAAAAAAAATCGTGCTTAAAGAAATGAGGCCCCTAGGGCCAGTGGGTGGCATGATGATTAAAGTAGCTGGGTCCCACACAGCAGTTTGTGAGTCCCAGACTCAGATACTTAAAACTCATGCTGGGTGAGGGGCAAGCAGGTGGCATAGTGGTTAAGGTGTTGGAATTCCCACATAGCTGACCATGGTTTGAGTCCTGGACCTGGTGACTTGCTTTCTCACTCTTTCTCTGTCTTTGGCAAAATTCATGTGAAAAATAATAATAACAATAATAAATAAATAATTCTTTTTAAAAACAAAACAAAACAAAAGAATTCTCCCTGGGTGTGTGTGTGCAGACGTGCCCAAGATCCTGAGAGGAGAATGAAGGAAAAGGGGTAGTGGCATGGCCATCCCCATGGAGGGTGATTTCTCTCTCACTTTCCCTCTCTCTGTCTCTCTCTGGTGAGCATGTGCATCCTATAGCAAAGTGAAAGGCAAAACACTTACAAAATGTTTTTGCTGCTGTTTAGGTTTTTACTAGAGGGCACGTGTGCTCACCAGAGAGCCACATGGTGGTTGATTGTGCCATGAGCTCTCTGAGAGTGGGCTGTGTTAGAAATATGCTGGACACACAGTAGGTCTTTATTTTTTATTTTAATGTTTTTTGCCATTGGGCAATATGTACTTGCTAGAGAAGAGAGACAGAGAGAGGGAAAGTGAGAAGTCACCCCTCGGGGAGGATGGCACCACAGTCCTTTCTTCTCCATTCTCTTAGGCTTCTGGGCACACACACATGTGCCCAGTGTTTTTTTTTTTTTTTTTTTTTTTTTTGAGAGAGATTTTTTACGTGTGCTTGCCAAGGACAGAGAAACAGAGAGATAGAAAGTGAGAAATCACCCCCCAGAAGGAGTGGCCACACCACAATCCCTTCTCCATTTTTCTCTCTGGATCTTGGGGACACAGGCACATGTGCCGGGTGTGAGTTTTAAGCTGCCAGGTCCAGGAGTGGAACTGCGGTCAGGTCAACTCTGTGGGAGTCCAGTGACATAATCACTCTGCCATCTGCTGGTCCCCCAGTGTGATTCTTTTTTTTTTTTTTTTAAAGAGGTTTTTGCTATAGGGTGCGTGCGCTCGCCAGACAGAGACAGAGAGACAGAAAGTGAGAAATCATCCTCCAGGGGGGATGGCCACGCCACAATCTCTTCTCTTCCATTCTCCTCTCAGGATCTTGGGCACGCACGCACACGCGCCCAGCGTGAGTTTTAAGCCACTGGGTCCAGGCCGGGAACCGCGGTCAACTACGTGGGAGTCCAGCGACGTAGCCATTACGCTAACTGCTGGTTCTCCTCCCCCCCCCCCAGTGTGATTCTTAAGTGGTCAGGCCCAGGGCTCAAACCATGGTCAGTCATGTGGGAGTCCAGCACCTAACCACCACGCCACCTGCTGGCCCCATAGTAAGTCTTTAATTATGTGCACTCACTGTGAGTCCAGCCTGATGTGTGGCACGTCTGAGAGAGGACCTCACCGCCACTTCTTCCACCTTCTTCCAGAAATCTCTCTAGTGGTGGGACCAGCAGTTGGCTTAATGGCTATGTCGCTGGATTCCCACGTAGTCGACCACGGAGTCCCGGACCTAGTGGCTTAAACTTATGCTGGGTGCGTGTGTGTGCATGCCCAAGATCTTGAGAGGGGAATGGAGGAGAAGGGATTTCTGCGTGGCCATACATACCCTCAACACCCCCCCCCCGCCCCCACCCACACGGC